GAAGTTCATTCGTGGACCACCGTAGTCCTTGCAAACCTGACACCCAGTATACCATAGTCTGTGTTATAAAAGTTGCCCGCCGCGATCGTTACCCTAGCTCACCGAATTTGTGAATGGGAACGAAGGCTCTTAATACGGAGTTACAACGGCGTCGTTGACACGAATCGCCGTCAAGTGTCATTGAACACCCCCGCGACGCAAAGCTCCGTTAATACCGGGCCGTTCGAAGTCGGCGCAAAGGAATTCGCGAAGAATTCCGTCTCGGAATTTCTGAATATGCAAGTGATTCCGCGGAAGAACCTCACGAATAGCGTCGAACCCGCGGCGACGATATTTCCAAGCAGTTAAACCACTTTGGCCGCCTCGTCGAAGAAAGAGGCCGCCCATCGAAGCTTCGATAACAAGAACGATACGATCTAACGTGCTGGAATCACGCAATTTTTCATCGAATAGCTAACATTCTTCACGATTTTCTGGAAAAACCATTATTAGTACGATTACCGGAATATCATTGATTGATACGATTGCCTAATATCTACATATTATTGCGAGAATACTTAATGAAGTTACTTGTCATTCACTTTTTAATTTTTGTGTTTCAGTGAACTGTGGTGACATCATTTTGCAAATAGATTTTGGGTAATAATGGTCATCAAATGTTTCGAGTTTTTCGGATATTATATATTACATGTGTAATTTGTAATAGGTATGTTGATATTGTGTTTTTAATGGTTTATAAGCTTCTAGTTCTGAGAGAATTTCAATGGTATACAGAAATGAAGTTAGGTCTGTAAGATTGATGTATAAACGTATAATTAAATGATAACAATTAATGAAATTAATTAACAAACTGAATGACGACAATTAATGAAAATGATGAGCGTTTATTCGGCAAGTTATTAGAATTTTGATTGAAACTACATTGGGGAACATAGTAATTGCAATCGTATCGAAGAACGGGCCCTGTATTTTTATTTTTCATAATAAATTGAATCAGAAGTTTCGTTTTTTTAATAAGAACAGCGAAATTACAAAATATATAAACTTAATGAGTAATAAATGTTACTAAATGTTTTATTGGATTAGAATTTCCGTAATAACTTGAATAATACGTGCAACAATAGGATTTAAAATTTCACACCGATACGTTAGACTGTCGGCATGTAGTGGGTCTGCAGCGTTAGCAGCATTGCAAAGAGGAAAAACTGATTCCGGGTAAGAACGTGTGATGCTCAACTACGTAAAATGACTTTGAACTTTTACAATGATCTTCTGTCATGTAAACATTGATAAGCCAGCATCGATAACGATTTCGTCAACGGTATTAAGCGAGGCGATCTGAAATTAGAGTCAAAGGCCGGAGGAAAGAATAAAAACACCGTGCCGAGTGCTGCAATCGTGTGCATCGAGCGTTTGCAACTTTACTTCATTACGAACCTTTTTCGTTCGTTTCACAGCCGTTTACCGCTTTGTCGACGCATAATTTACATCGCATGCGGTGCAATATGCAGTTGTTTACCTTTCGCGATTTCTGATGCAATTTACAGCACGCCCGAATCTTTTTAATGCAACGCGCAACGCAACGTTTAAACAAAGATTTAAAGTAATTCCAGTATTAACCCAAACTGAACGAACCCCTACATTGGATAAATAAATAAATAAAATTCCCTTTATAGGATGTAAACTGTTGTTCATCGTATTACAGAGTTTATTAATAAATTCCGTGCACAAAGGATTCTCTGAATTAAAAATATCGATGATCATTAATTTGTACACTGCATTCGAATATCTCTATATTTTTCGAATAAAAATTCATGCACGATTATTTGTAGGGATTTTATATATTGTTCTCCTATTTTATGAATTGCGACAGATATACAAGGTGTAAGATTATAAAGCGTACAATCGGATACAGAGTGATTTCATATATTTGCAAAAATAAGTCTGAAAAGTAATCAAATTTTTCCATTCGAGGTGTACTTCTTAAAAGTGTGCATTTCGTAAACAGTGAATGTAAAATTCGACTGCGCGCGAATTCGATTGATTTTCAAACTAAAATGAAAAGATAATTTTCAGTTACATAAAACAAGTTTGTTACCAAATAACTGAACAAACGCGAAACAAAACTTTTACCCCGTTTCGTAAACCAAACAGGAGTTTCCATTCATTTACCTTGTGCAATACAATCTACCGATATTTCCACTCTCGCAAAGCTTCGGTCGCTTCAGCAACAAATCGGAGAACGTATCCCGCAGAATCGGTAACGCGGGCAATATGTTTGTTTCTCGTTTCGCGCGGGAGCATGGTTATCGTTCGAAAAAAATTGATCAGCTTCCACGAAACGGACCCGTCCGATTCGAATGAATCAGCGATGGACGAAAGGGAAACTCCGCGTTCAAACGCCTTTCCCCCTGCTCCGATCTAATTACAGTGGATTATCTGAACTATTTGGCCGACCGAAAAGTCTCGACATATTTCTGAATGAAGTTTAGAGAATTTTTATTTCGAAAACGAAATAATTGTAAAATAAAAGAATATTACAGTTGATATAAAAGTGCGAATGAGGTTATTTTCATTATCCCTACATCTAACTATAACAACGTAGAAGTAACCTTAAAAGAATATTATGTAGGAAAAGTATTAGATTAATCAGAAAGTCTCTACATATTTCTCAAGGAAGTTTAAAGCAAAATTTCACTTCGTTGTATCGAACTGCATTGAACAATGGGTTACTATTTCATTTGGAAACTTTCTATTGTCTTTTAGACTTATTAGCCAATCTAATAATTGGGAGACAAATCTGTCTAAGTAAACGGTTTGTCGGATAATCGGTTTAAAAGGATCAAATTGAACATGTAAATCAACGAACAATTCGCATAATCGATCGTTTACATAACCGAAAGTCGGGAAATCGGTGTTCGGATGAATCGCTCATTTGTCAAATCGTCTAAATCTAGAAAACAAAAACTAGAGAAATCGGCGAAGGAAATCGTACGACATTGTTACAGCTTCTGACTCGAATCTTTGGGCAAATTATAGCGTAACAATAAACAATAATACAACGCAATCGATAAAAAGGCCAAAAGACTGCTTGCTCGAGCTCAATTTGTACTGATCATGTGAAGTTATGATCTTTAATCGCTTTGGCTTCTAAAGTCAATTTAAAAAAGTGTCATTTTGTAATGTACCAAACAACTATTAAGGAAATTTATTTCAGATAGAGAAAACATTCAAGAAATGAACTTGATCGATCTGTAAGCGAAATGACGTTCCACTGTATCCCCATGTTGCGTCGGTGGCCGAGCACCTAACCCTACCGCCTAAGAAATCGAACGGATCGTCGGTACGGAATTGGATAATCGCTTTTTCTTCGCGCTCCCGCCGCTTCTCGGCGGTTCTCTAACGAGGAACCCGGTCTTTGTTCCTTCTAACGAGATCTTTTCCCTTTCACGCGCCCGGAAAAACGGATCAAAGCGGCAGCTTGCCGTTTTCCGCATCCTCAACGCTAGGTTTACGGACGTTTATTTTACGTACAGTTTAGGTATTCTATTGCGCCAGAAAAATTGATGTTCGTGTCTTTAAATCTAAAAAATTAGAGGATTAAACGTAGATAATTAGGGTACATATTCTTGTAATCACGCCGATTGAAATTGCCGCAACCACCTACCAAAGAACGTCCGTAAAATTCAATATGCATCAGGGTAACGCATTGCATGAAGGAACGTGTTAACCCTTAAATTAACAACCGAAATGTTTGCGTTTGTCAAACATTGTTACTGCAATATTCTTACGTAAATGTTTTATTTTTAAAGCACAAATCGACGCGAGGGTATTAACACATTGATTACCACGGTGGTCACCGATGACCGAAGCTTCCAAATTGGTGAAGAACAGTTACAATAAAAAACTTGATTTCAGATAAAAATATTTCTTAACATATGTAGCTAGATCATAGCGTAATGTGACTATCGTGATACTAAACCATTAATAATTATTTCCAATATCATTTGCCTTTGTTATTAAAGAATAAGTATTATTATTCGGAACGCTAGAAATTTTCGTGGCAGTCAACGTGTTAAGAAAATTGATGAGACAGATCCAAACATACTTCATCAAGTTTTCACGAGAAACAACAAGTTGTATAGAAGAAAATTTATAAATGGGCTCTGGAGTTGCTTAAATAAGGGTTAATCCCATTAGGAGACCTTTTATTCATTACTCCGTTATCATAAATATAATATATCCGTATTCCATTATCAGAGATAGTCCTGTCACACTTTTGCAGTTTGACTCTCATGTGTCTCTGTCTTTTCTGAATCTTTCGTTGCCTGTCCTTTTCCCGTATCCACTGTCCGCTCCGTCTCTTTTGTTTCGTTTTCCGTGATTCAACGGTCCTTCGCTCGTTCCTCTACCCGCTTTTCTCGTCACGTCTCTCCTCGAACTCCGCGACGGACGATAACAACAGAGCTGTTTACATCGGTCACAACAACTGCACAGTCGAACAAACTCTCTTTTCAAACGATAACGCGACCCGTGATTTATGGCCGATGATAGCTGACGATACGCAATACGTTGCACCGGCCGCGCAGCGTCTCGGAAATACGCTTGTTCGGTAGTTCGTGTCAATTAGCCCATTCGAGGCTGGGGATTTTTAAAAAAGTAAAAAACAGTTTCTTTCTGTCTTTCCTGTCAATTTAAGGTTAAAAGGTCTTACTTAATAGAACTATAATATTGTTACTTAAACACCATGTAAATTCTTTTTCCCAAAATCTCTTTCAGAGCTGTTAAGCGAAAGAAATTTCAGATTTAAATCTAAGAATAAAAGCAACGTTTCAATAAACACTGACGTTTCTTTCCTCTTTGGAACTTTATGCTTTATTTAAGTTACCTCGCCCCCTATTTCTCTACCACTTACGAATAAAACATCAACAGTGTAATGTCTCCACAAATTTGTGAAAAATGCAAGGTAACAATTATATCTTACTATGGTCCTGTTCCAGGTGGTTTTCTTGGCGACATAGCACTGCCAAATATTCAGTACGAGACGGAGTGGCGGCAGCAGAAGCTGAACAAAAGTTACTTGGAAGAACTGGAGAAATATCGAGAAGAAGTCCTGAAAGAGGGTCTTCAGGTCGAAGAGGAGGGTCTCACAGGTAAACAGAAAACGGAGAAAGAAGTAGCAAAACTTATGCAAACCCTTTCAAGATTTCTGGCTCTTCGAACAGGGTAGTTTGAATCGGTGTTCAAACACGTTCACTGTTCATACCTTGAACATAGAATCTTCCCGTACATTCCACAGAACTGTAAGACACACAATGTACTATTAAGGGAACATGATTTAACACCAGACCCACCGAGTGTTCAATACGCTTAATATGCAATCCCTATAAAAATTGTAACAATAAATTATTTTCAGTTTCTTTAGAAATTCTTTATAGTATTCAAGTGAAACTATTTATTTTCAAGATCGTTTCGAATATTCAATGCTTTTCCAATATCAATAATTGCGAAACAAAAAGCAGAAACCAATTATTTTTATTTGTTAAGATAAGTGTTAACACTAGAACTACCAAATGGGTCAAAATGACCCATTTCTACATTCCTCTTCTGCAATTATTGAAAAGAAACAGATGCTTTTTGGGGAAATAAGTAATGAAATTGATTTAAGAATTTGCGAATTAGATTATAAATCGATTGAAATCTCAATACAACTTTGGAGTTTCTACAGAAAAATTAGAAAGTCTAATTGAACTACTCGGTAGTTCTAGTGTTAAACGTGTTTGTACCCGCCATGATGGCCCGACGACATGGCCATCATGGACGTAGAATTGGGATGTGGTGAATCAGCCGAACCTGAAGGTCTACCAACATGCTCCCAAGGGTGACAAATCCCATGGAGTTAAGTAGACTATTGTGGCGCTGAGTTCACTTTCCAAAACTCTACCAGCTTAGCAGACCGATACCTGAGCTGTTGGAACCCAGCTCATCCACCGGCACCCTAGAAAAAAAGGAACCTCGGCAGCATTAGAGCTGTTAACTACTGCTCCTACAAGTCCAACCCAATGTCCACTGTCGCAGGACATCGGTCCCCGTAATACCAGTCAATGAAGGTCTAAAGATCCTTGTACACATTGAAACTTGCGGCGATGCAGACCGCAATTTTACTTTTACAAATTTCGAGTTAAATCCCACCGACGTAGTCTTTTGAATGCTAATTCATCTTCTTCTTCGGCTTGTATTGAATTATTCGGAAAGTTCGTGCCGATTTTTGGCAGGTGGCGCGGCGGACAGGTCTGAATATATCAGAATGATTGAAAACAAATGACATGCATACATATCGTAAACGACGGTACTTCAGGCATATTTGGAAAAGCGTAGGTTGTTCTCGATCAATTTTTTAATCTGATCTTCATCTGTGGTGGAGGGCCTACCCGTGCGTTCTTGACTTTTAAGATTGAAATCACGAGCTTTAAACTTAGCAACCCACTTCCGCACTGTTCTTTTAGCTGCAGCACCTTCACCATAAACAACGCATATCTTGTTTGCCGCTTGTGTGGCATTTTTGCCTTTCCTGTAAAAGAAAAGCATTAAATGCCTAAAATGCACTTTGTTTTCTTCCATATTCAAATGCGTATAAAACTGACAAAAATTAACGTATCGTAACCAAATTTTTTCCCAAATATGCCTAAAGTACCGTCTTTTACGATATGTATACATGTCATTTGTTTTTAATCATTCTGATATATTCAGACCTGTCCGCCGCGCCACCTACTAAAAATCGGCACGAACTTTCCGAACAACCCAATATTATTTTTTCACTTTTATAGTTATTTTCCAAGCATTTTTTAAGCGTGTTGTAGGGTCGTCTACTGTAACTTGTTCCATAGAAGTAATTATATAAACTGGCGATTGCTCACCGATTTTGATTTACTTCGAAATATTCTGCCAGACACGTGATTCTTAGCAAGTTTTTAAAGTCTATCAAAATCGACGAGGAATCGTTATAAGACTTTCGAAAAAATAGAGGGTAGTGTATTAGAATGAATTGTGCATAATTCAGTAACGCAACGTAAAACGTAAAATATTGTACGTTCATTGTGTATCGATAAAACGAAATAAATTTTTGAGGCAATCTCATGTTTAGAATTGATGACTTTTGAGAGATTGATCAGTTGATATTTCAAAATAAATTAAAGCGTAATTCGTATCTCGTATAAATAAAAGAAATGAAGTAATGAGTTACATACGTCACATATATACACATACAACATGTGAATAATGATTTCTCATTCAACCGTAATTAACTTACAAGCTTAATTTTAGTATGTTTGAAACTTTATGAAAATGTAGATGTACTACCCCTGCCTTACCCTATTATTATTTTCTAATTCGATTTGTCATTTTAAATGAATTCTTCAGATCTTAAATGTTCAGTTTGTCTCCCTTATAACTGTTTCTACTTAATCATCATATATTTCGGAGTATCTATTTATATCGACATCTTTAGCCACATGTCGTAATCTGCGTGCTTGTATACGTGCGTTGTATGAATCAACGGTGTGTATCATATGTGATACACGAGACGTAACAGAGCAGAACACTGTACATCACACATGATGCACGGGGCAGTGAACGTGTTAACACGTCCACAGTCCGTTGTTCTATACGTATGAACAGCGTACTCCTGACTCACACGTCACCTGATCCACCATGGAACAGAAATGTCTGAAATTAAAAGTCGTATATTGTTAACACAGAAGGGTACTTCATACTTTAACCCATTCGTCATCAGCATTTGTTTCAGTAACAGTCTCTACAGTTGCAATACTTCACCAATTAAAACATATCATTTTTACGAAATACGAATAATATTAAACAAAAAATAATCTCTTCGACTTTCTTATACCATGCTTTACATTATTAGATAAAACCACGCGTAAATATAATTCACTCTTCTTCGCACAAAACATAAAATATCGATCGTCACAAGTATGTGACGTTTACAGTCAATGTGTTAATTCCCGTTTAACGCTGTTTCGGTATGAAACAGTTTTCTTTATAATTCTATAATTATTTTTATTCACTTTAGCGCGATTTTTCAAATCATTATACTCACATAATGCATGTAGAAAAATGGTATATTCTATTATCCTGTTTCATTTATCATTATCATTTACCTGTTAAAGCGTCGTGTAATATTATTTCGTTTTACGTTTGGCCTTTTTGGTTCGTATCCCCCGCGTGAAACGAAGTCTTACAAACATTTACCGATAAGTAAATTGTGCTTCGATTCAGACCTGTAGCAAACATTTTCAATAGAATTTAATAAGCATAAATATTACTCGGTATTTGTGCATTTAAAGTAAATATTATTCTTTTATTATCAATTATTACAATCTAGAACAAATGTGGGCATAGAATATATCTACAATTTGCCTCTATCTCCAATAAATGAATGTTAACGAAGTAGTCGTATAGATGATAATTGAAAAATAAATCGTAGAGCGAGAGCTGAACATTAAACGTGCCAGTCAAACGATTACTTTTAAAATTTGACACAAAATTCCATGTTCTCCTTCGTTCATCAACTTTATCGAAATTCCTGTATTGTCCGATGATCCAGTTAACTGCGTTTGACGAGTCTACACGTCATCTTAAAGCTAGAAATGACACTAATTCTTTCAACGAAGTGCATTCGTCCTGCGTTTGACGAGAACACACTTCATTTTTTGATTTTATTGCAGGCAAAACGAGAGATTTTTCAAATTAAATTCCACAGTTAACAGATTAACACGTTCGCTAGCAGCGTCACACATATGTGACGGCCGTAATGCTATATTTTACATAATAAAAGTGAAATTAATCCTATAGATATTGTTATTAGAAATTGTGAACTACGACATTATATTTACGAACTCAATGACTCATTTCAGTTTCATTTTTTAAATATTTTATTTACAAGATTTATTCCATTGAAGAAAATCTTATAATTGAGGAAACCGCCACCGAAATAAGCGATGGTAGCAAACGTGTTAATCAGTTTTCCAATGTTCGCTTTCCGTTTGTTTCTGTTTTCACTAAGAAAAAGTGATCGTCAATGATCAAACATGTTCACCTTTCATTTGTAACCAGTTATTTAACACGTTGACTGCCACGAAAAACATTAGCGTTTTATGTATCACTTACTTTTTCTATAGCAAAGATATAAAGCAAGACTTATTAATTCTTTGATATGAAAATTCTTATGTTACCCAATTACCTAGTTACTTACGTTACGGAAGATTTGTATTCGAAATCAATTATCTTCCAAGTCATAATTATTTTCTTGTAATTTGAAAGCTCCGGTCATCGGTGACCACCGTGGCAGTCAAAGTGTTAAGTGGTTACGTCAACAATAGGTATGTATATACAAATCACCGATACGTTTACTATTAATTATTTGCTGGTGATAGTTATTCGAATATAGTTATCCGAATAACGGCCAACGTTGCATACATATGTCGTCTCAATTATAGTTTGAATGCCTTTCAGAACAGACAGTGCCGGGTCAAAATCACCCGGCGTTCGTTGTCCGAAGCTTAACACGTGGTGTGTGTGTGTGTGTGTGCGTCTGGTTTCAGAGATTCTTCAATTTAAACATGAGCACGACGCTAACGAGACGCACCAGGAGAACGAGGAGATCGTTGCCTCGCAGGAGAAATCCGAACCAATTATGGTGGACCGGAATCAATACAGCATGGACGGCGAAGTCGCGGGCGGATTCAGTTTTAACGCGAGGAATGACGACGCCGGGCCCGGGGTGAGGGACGAGGGCGTTGAATTCAGGTAGACCAAAACTCTCGAAACTTTTATGCAGAAATTACGCGGCCGCGCTCGCGCGCTTGCCGGAGCGGACCGGGAGATTTCCCTTCTTGAACAGATGTCCCACGATGTGTGTTGGAACTCGACTGAGAAATTTCAAAAATATATGCATATTTATGTATATTCTGTGCCGCGGAAGCAATTAGAATGGTAAAAACGCCTGTTCTTGCCAGTGTCGGACGGAGGCTGTTCGAAACAACGAATACGGGGCGACGAATAAATTCAATCTGATTGGTAAAGTGAATGGAATTTATTTAGTTTCTGATTACTTTGAATAACTGTTGGCCAACGCTGCATTTGACAATGTAGGATGTGTAAATAGGAAATGATAACAGGAATAACGAATAACATAGGGAACAAATATTCAAATAAAGTTTGTCAAAAGTAAACATTGACTCTTGTTTTACTAAAATATTTTGAAATGAATAAATTCATTGAATTTCTGCAGTATTTCGTTCGTGATTCGTGATTTTGTTGCAATTATTTGTTTTCGCGTTTGGTAACCGTCCGATCTGACTTTTAAAAAGTTTGTTTATTAGAATTTCAGCAAAATTACAATTTCCTGAAACGATTTAATGAATCAGAAATGAAATATTTTTTTACTTTTGCCGTTGAAGATTTTGATTTGTTGAAAATGAAATGGCAGAGTACTTAAGGTTTTCGAACACTGTTTAGACGAATATCAATTACTAATACTTTTACTATTAAAATTGTTAAAATTTGTTTTGATTAAAGTTTATATTTTTTTTGCAGACCATACAAGTCACTAATTAGCTTTCGGTAATACTTTTCAATTTTTAAATATCCAAACATAATAATCTGTAAAAGTAGGTATATGTAGATGTATTGAGGATTAAAATCCTCCAATGCAGGGAATTATTACAAACCGTTTAAAGTGGAGCTGCAGCATTGATTCGTGAAATCTATTGTAAAGACGACACGTGAACACTCGAACAAATATTGTGAATAATGATAAATTTATCTCACGGGCCACTCGTTTAGCCGATATGTGCATAATACCAATTAAACCAATTGAGGTGATTCCAGTATCTGTAACATAAATTAATTGTAAAGGATAATTTAAACTGCATTGCATTCTGTTTATTACATTTCGCATTATTATGGCAACAAAAATATCTTTCAAGAGAGATGTGTGCGAATTTTCCAAATTATTTTAAATCGATAAAATTGAACGGAACATATATTTAAAATTTTCAATTAAGGATTCCAATTTAAATTTATATCACTTGTACATACACGGTGTGTGTAAAGCAAACGTAACCGATATATTTAAGTGAAATTAAATCTGTATAAGAAATCAATATTTTAATTTATTTCAGTTGTACAATGTACCTTCAAATTAGTGATACAACCAGGAAGAACGTAATTTCACATTGAAAAATAGATCGAGAACGTACAATAAAATTTGCCTTTAAACCCTCTTATTCCAGGAATTACAACATGAAACTTGTAAAGTACACGCGTTACTTAGCTAATTGGATTAAATACGGTTGATATAATCGATAAGAAATTATTTTATATGGAAAAAATGAGCGAACAATGTAGAATAAAATTTTGTTCATTTGGAATTTCGTTTCCAAGGAAATTCAGCTTGAAATCCAATCACACACACACTACATACATAGGATTCAATTAATTTCCGACAGAACGTATTGAAACCCGATATTATCCATAATGAAACGGATACAGAACCTTAAGCAAACAAATTTTACGGCGAATTTTCTCTTTATTTTTACGCGCTCAATTGCGTATTTTTGCTACGACTCGACAAAAAAATTTCATTTCACATTATCGAATTACTATAATTTTTTTCCGCGGGACCACATTTGTTTCGGTTGAACCACCAGTTACAAAACAGCCTATACATTTATGAAGACTACATATTTATTGAAGATCTCTGTTGCACGTGTATTTACTTAACATATTCAGATTTTTTGCATGTTTATTAATTTACAATATAGTTCCAATTACCGACGAGTATCAAAACCAATAAGTAATGTAATGATAACAATAAATAATAAGTAATGTCGTTTCTTATCTTACTTTCCATAAACGAAGGTATCGGATCTAGACATTTTAACACAAGAAGTTGGAATCAAAAAACGACATTACTTATGAAATGATTTAACATTAATTAAAACAAGAACATATTCATTATATGCGTAAATAAATACACGTGTACATCTCTGATAAATATTTTAAGTTGGGACCTCCAACATTTATCTTCATTCTATTGTTCCTAAAAAAATGAATCTCCGTTCGTATAGATCTTAGAAAACGTATCAAAAATAGAGAATTACGATGCACATTCCTATAATAGCGCCAATCAAAATCAACGAAAACTATTATCAATATTAAATACTATTAATACTGTTAGAAATATTCAAAAATCCACGTCGTACTTCAGAAGCATTGATAAATCGATAAAATTTTCGTTTCGCTTGATATCGTTTTTGTGTCTCTCTGAATTGGTTAAAATATAATTTGTCTGTTCCAAAATATTTGTTTCTCTTGATATAATTGATTAAATGATCATCCAGTTATGACAATCGAGTAAAGTATATTTAAGGAAATACTTCGTCCCATTAAATGCTATTAAATTTGATAAAATCCAATCTGCGTCGAATTGACGTGTTCCGTGAACTCAGTTGTTAATCTTTTAGGTTGGAATCGACAACCCCGCCAGCAAAAAAGAGGCACTCCGCTCGGAAGCAGAGTCGTCAGCTACAGCTCGCGGTGAATGTAAACGGCACAAAGCCAATGAACACTTTTCTGAAGTCGTCTCGCGAATCAAACGCTTCACCCAGCACGACCGAGGGCACAGGCCAGATGGAGAATATCGAGGAAGTATTCACCATCGGAAAGGAGACCAGCAGGCAGAACACATCGAAGCGGCGTCATCGTCGTCATCATCGAAGAAGGTATTTATACCCTTCCATTTTCTTCGCTAATATTTGACAACCACTTGTCGTTGAAACGTATGACAGTTCGTAATGATTAGACTGCAGATTTCTATGCATTTATCAGAAAGAAAGTACAGAATGAACAGAATGCACACATGTAAAGAAATACACAAAATATCTAAAGTGCAGTGATGTCCATAACGTTTGTATATACTAACGTTTTTAAAAGTTTTCATTAAGACTCGCAGTTTAGTAATGATGCCAGCAACCCTTTGCCTTATCTCCTGTCGGATTTGTAGCGAAGATTTCAAACAGAATTTAACGAACATGAATGTTACTCGATTTTGTTGAGAGATCTTTAATTTAAAAATTTCTTTCAATTAAATTTGATGGTATGTTACATTTCTCTAAATTAAATTTAATAGTATTACACTTTTCTAAATCAAATTAAATAGTATTAAATAGGAAAGAACTTCTCGTGTTCTCTAATTACAAAAATTAAGAATGTTACGTGTTATTTCTCTTGCCTGGAATATTTGAGAAAATTTATTTAGGTATTTATTATCACTTACAGTTTCAAAATTGATATCGAATAATCATTTTTAATTTAGTACAAATACTTCTTAAAACAAGCACAGAGAACAAATACACAAATTTCTAATCGCATCAGTAATACATAGTTTAACAGTCAATTGATCTTTTTAGAATTAACACGTATAATCCTTCGATCATTTTTAAATGAGAACCAAACCCACAATGAAGAAAGGTGTTATGTAAGTGAGATCCAATTAGGATCGACACAGAGTTAGAAAGAAATACGAAGAATTCAGAGAATCTACTGAAAGTGGTATCGTGAGGAGAATAAGTTCCATTCGGTTCGATCGCGTGTATTGCACTCGGAACGACTCCATCGAGCAAAGCACATTTTTCAAGGAAAGTTGTCACGTCGATGCGGAAGGATTTAGAAGCCGGCAACAATTTATGACGCTTAGGATATCGGAGGGATATTAGTATTCGATATAAGCATGGAGGACGATACGAAAAATCAAAGAGTTATAAATTAAAAGCGTTGCCACTCGATCGGGTTTCATATTCTCGTTTCGCATGGCCGCGCCACCTGAATGCGAATCGGATATTCTTACCTTTTATACGAGGACTCGTGGGTTTTCATCCTTTTCAACTTTTATGTGGCGGTTCTATTTAAGATATTCTTAAAATAAATGATACAGTTTATTGGACATTTTCAAGGAAACTAGAGTACTTTTGTTACAATTACGTTAATATTATTATAACATCGTCGTTTTGAAAATCACGCGAGCATGTATCATTAAAGAATTGATATAGTTTATTGATCATTTCCGGGAAAGCTAAAATGTTCTTATTATTATAATAATAGAATTCTCAAAATCATGTAATCAGATGTCATCCTTGAAATAATTGATATGGTTTATTGATCAGTTTCGAGGGAACGAAAATACGTACTCCTCTTAGCATTGTGTTTATGTTATGATATTGTAATTTATTGGAGCATAAATTTACTTAAAACAACGCAATTGATGCAATCGATACAATTGACAGCAACGACTGTTACATGGAACTTCAATAATATTATCAATTAAAATATTATTTTGTTATGTAGGTATTTATTCAACATTATTGACGAATTTTACACGATTGTAAACGGTATTACATTATTATGCAAATGTACATATTAAAATGAGGCAAATTGATATTGAAGAATGTAAATTAATACCAAAGTCATCACTAGCAAAGTCATGAAATTTGCAATGAAAATGATTGGAAGAATGTCACGACACAATACAATAATAATCAGTAACAATAATAATTCTCTCTTTGCTACGCTAATAAAAATGGCTACTGAAAAAGGGGAACACTTTAATAAAAGAATTAGTGACACATATATTATAAAGTAACCAAAAAGAAACTATTATTATTTGCATCAACTTGGAACAAACTATGCATTAATAAAAAAATTCGTTGAAACGAATCGAATTACCCAAATAATAGTTAAACAAAGAACTCCAGAATTCCAGAACATTTGAGGACATGCAATTTTACCGATGAATATAAGTTTGATACGTTCATATCTCATGGTAAAGTTATAGTATGCAGAGAATCAAATCATAGAGCAAACATTAAGAATTTCTGACCGGCCCACGCGTTTGCAGCGTATCACAAATACTTCAACGATCCATTTGGACTAATGGTACTAGTAATTTACTATTTAAATACGAGAAAACGTATAAACGAGACAGCTAAAACATATTAAAGAACAATGCCGTACAGCGTGGAGAGAAAATGAAAACTAGGAAATTTTTAATTCTACTGCCACGTTAACATGATACATATTTCCTGCAGCATTTATTAGTTTATAATCAGAATAAAATAATCTGTAAAAGTTTCGCGAATTGACAGTGAATACAAGTACTTTATACTTTAATAAATTATAACTCTAATAAATTCACTTTACGTTTCAATTCAAGAAATAAACAAATTTCATTTCTTTTAAGCCGACCTACGCATCTGCTTTTAAAATTCAATTATTATTTTGAATTTTCCAATTATTTCAAGTAAGTATTTGTCGCGAAACCTCGAAACATCTTTCAAGAAAAAGAGACCCCAACATCTATAATTATTTAACCGTTACCATGCTATACCTCGATCCGTTCAGACCCTGAATTGAAAACTATTACCTTATTTATTATTATTACTATTACCTTTTGTCATTTACTTAACATAACATTTCTTATCAATACAAAACGATCGACAGAATAACAAAACATAAATTGAAAAGTTTGTGTAAACCCGGTCTGATTATGGGTCACGTGACCCCAGTCAGAGCCGTCAGTAGAATCGCTAGAATCGCCGGTGATGTAGGGGTTAATACTAAAAAAAAGACGCTATTTCTAACAGAGTGGTGTGATCGAGTGTATTGTGGAGGGTCATAGTCAGCTTCATCGTTTTAACTCTCACCACCCAACCGATCGCCAACAATTTTCCGTTGGTGGGGCTACTATGCCAATAACAATGGTCGTCATCGTAAAGCTGGAAAATGGGGACCGATACTGCCGGCCGGGCATTTTCAGCCCTTGAACTGCCAATAACCTGTCAACGTCGGCCATCGTGTCTCTGACCAGGTCGAGGGTGTGTTTGTGTATAGATTATGTGCGTATCTGCTAGAAACATCGGAGGGGAGGATGAAGCTCGGAAGGAGGAACGAGCATGGCTATTGGAAAACTGTATTCAGGGAAATCAAGTTTTCATCGCTACTTCGATAAACTTCTTCTAAAGTACTTTTCCTGCACCAATGTCGCTGAATTTATATTACACCGAAAGGTTATAGTTATAGGCACACGATTTCGATTTAACGCTAAAACTTCCGAGCAATCAGAGTGACTTGTTTTCAATTTCTTTTTTTTCATCAAAATTAGAACAATACGTTTCTCGAGATTCGAAGGGTCTCTTAGTCTTGTATCTGTACAGATGCACAATCTTAATTGAAAATCTTTTGAAAGATTTGTTTAATTTACCAGGGATTAGAAATAAGATTTGTGCCCTATTTTGACGATTTGGTTCGATTTAACGCGATCACCGATATTCTAACGTGAAGTTTCATATGGGGTACTGTTTCTTAGGTTTGAAAGGAATATGTATTTTTCTATAAGTATACTGTAGATTTTTTTCATATAAAACGTATCTATCGCATATAAATATTATAGAATTGAGTATAAATGAATATTGTAATTATTTGAGGCGCGTAATAAAAGAATATTACTGAAACTCGAAAACAGTAGATAAATGTCTATTTACATTATGTGCTCCTGTCATGTTTTTAATATTTGGAACAAATAGTGATTTTGATTGTTGAAATTCATTTGCTTATTAATTAATATTAAATTAATTCTGAGAAAATGATGTTCCTTACATTTGGACGGGAACAGAAGATTATTAGATTCTTTAAACGATCAATAAGGCTTTGTTAAACTATACAGATTTTTTTTTAATATTATGGTGATCATTACGATAACAAACTTTATGTATTTCCATGTGTGATGAATGGGTGAATTCTTACTAAATGTCGGAGACTCTTAATGTCTTTGTTCACACTATTTCAAAGGTAATAAAGATGAATTTCTGTCACGTAGTATTTTCTGTAAATACATTATAAATCGATATATCGGTTTTAAAAGGACATCGTTTGAAGTAGTCAAAACGACATAGCAGGCGAATCGTTTTTTAAATCACTTTCCGATGCACCGTAGAGGCGAAATTGCTTCTACCATTCCAAACTAATAATATTGAAAAGATTCTAATGATATATCACAAAGTCTAGTTTATATATAGTCATTACACATGATCGCACTGCAATATTCAAAACCAAATAAAAAGTTGCAATTTACCCACGATCTGCACTCACAAAAATATTTTATTAACACTTTTTTTCATTAATTTGGCTCGGCTTACACCATATAAATCTTTTGATAGATAACCGGGCGTAATAAAGAGTAATTAAAGTCGAACAATTATTAAGTGTAGCATAAACAACTTCAATCTCAAATATTGCTGTGCATAATAAAGAATTCTTAAAGTTGAACAATTATTTATTGTAACATAAATGACTTCAACCGCAAACTCCGTAGCATTGTAAGAACAAGGGAATTGCGGCAAAACAATGAACAGTGGGTAGGACTAATAACAAAAGTAAGTTTAATTTACGTGTTTGATGGTAAACTTTTCAAACACGTTGCTCGGAAATCAACAAGCGTGGCATAGTATTTCGACGAGCGTTCCCCGCTACGTTGACGCAGGCTTACGAAAGCGTTTGTTTATGGCCTGTATCCGACACTATGAAACGCGATCGTTCTGTGATTCTCCAATGAAGCTCCAGAGAATTCTGAAGAGGATCAAGCCCGACCCGATAGCTTTGACGTGGTTAAACCTTGAATCTGCAGGCATTTCTCCCCACGTTTCCGCGCGACTCACCCTTCGAGCTACGT